CAATTATTTTTTACCTTTTATGGGGCATCGTGCGAACGGCGGCGCCCCATCAAAACGCCCAGACTTTCTCTTTTCTCTTTTTTTTTCTTTTTTTTCATCGTTTAAACGCTTTTAGTGGAGGAAAGTATTGGAGCAGCGAGACATTCAAGTGTCTGGCAAACAGCCGCGGAAAACTCTCGCCAGCGATTTTAATTTCGCCACCGCTGCTCTGCGGCGAGGAGATACTCGTACACCAAAAGATACTTTAGTTGCCCCTTTGCGGGTGGAGAACTATTTCCGGAATCATTCCCATCAGCATTACGGGTGGCTTTTCGGCTCAAAAGAGCTAGTTTGGCGTAATCCGAGAATGGCTATATTTATGAGATATTAAATAAGTTCACACTATTATATGTGGTTTATTCAAATTCCGATGCATGAAATGAACCCATAAATGGACAAACAAGCAGTTTATCTGCGAGCAAGAGGTATGCCAGATTTACGGCCAGTTGTTAAATAATAATTTATTTTGTGAGCTTTCAAAAAAGGCTGTAAAAAAATAAATAAATTATGTGTATGCTAAAAAGTTGGTGAATAAAAATGTTAAAAGAATTAATTAAAATATCCAAAGCAGTGCTGTGCCGCAGAAATCATAATTATTGTTTCATATAACATACTTGAAGATTGTGGAAAAAGACAACACCTGATTGAAATGAAGTAGGGAATTTCCCGGTAATCACAAAGTCATTGGATGCCAATACAAGCTCGTAAAGGGAATGCAAATTCCCGAGTGGAATTGCCAGCTGAGTTAAGCTTAGGTGCGTCCTCATCCTGTCTTCCGGTCCTCCTGCCTTCCGCCCTTCGTCCTTTTTCAGTCCTCTCCTGTTACTTGTCTCCCTTTTATGACATTTTTAAGTAAGTCGCCGCGCGCAGCTTGCAAATCTCGAAACTCCCCTCGCCATTTCATCTTCCTGTTTTCCCAGCATCAACTTCCCACGACTTTTTACGTTTTCCTTTTTTTGTACTTTCCTTTTTGTTTTTGTAATTGAATGCGCTAAGTTAGAGCGAATTTATGCTTATCAAGTTTTGTTTCTTCTCGGCTCTGCTCCGATCCCCTGCCACCGATATTATCTACCCTCCGGTTTTCCGGGGGCCCACGAGTGCTGTTTACGGTTATTTAGGCGCAGGCACTAAGTTCCCCGCCTGCTCTCGTATTTTTTTACGATTCCGCGGGGCGGAGATGTCGGGATTGGCGGCATAAAAAATACTTATTTGCAAACTTTTGTGGCGGCACCGCTGACTCATTCAAGGATGACAATGAGGAGCAACCGGATGCGGGAGTGGGCGGAGCTGTTGCCTACAGGTGCCCCACAAGCGGGCGCGGATTGCGCCAGACCCACCCACCAAGGCGATGGGTTCGTGAGTCACGGATGCACTGCGCGAAACACTTAGCTAAACAGTTAGGCTATTTTGCTGGCCCAAATCATTACCTAGAATAATGAACTAGTTTCTGAGATGGATATACCCGTATGTATAGCAAAAAAGAAAACCCTTTCAGGATAACCCTTCATCTACGAGCCCACCTCTAATGCACCAGAAGGAAGCCATAAGGAGAGCGAGGTTAGTCCATCGATGGCGCCACGGAAGTGCAAAGCGCGTAACTGAAACTTGTTTTCCTTGCACTGCAACTTGCCTAGCCTTTGTCCTGCCTAACAGATACCACAGATACATTTACGTATACGGTGGCAGATACAGATACGCTGGCTGTTTGAGTTATAGATACAGCTACAACCTTGAAAGTTTCGTCCGGCGCTCGGTGAGCGGGTAACAATTGAAACCGGAAGCCCTAACCAGAACCAAAGTCACAGTCAGATTTAGATTCAAATTCAGAGTCACAGACACAGGGGAAGTCTGGCTTCGAGTCTGAGTTATCCGATTTACCTGGCAGAACAGAACCGAACCGAACAGAAGTGAAGGAAAGAGAACAGATGGTGGCAAGTTTGTAAGTTGGCTTAGGAGAATGCCAATGGAAGATGAAAGAAGTTTGCTCATTGCCAGAAGTTGTGCGGCAACTCTCAGGATATTAACAGGGGCATTAACAAAGACATTGTGGCCGAGTAATGCCACAGCCTCAGAAACAAGAAGGTAGTGAAATGGCACCAAACCCGAGCAATTTCAAGCTGAAATTGCTCGGCCAAGCCTTGACACGCAAATCCTATAGAAATTTATTTCATTTAAATGTACGAAAATGCGTAAAACGTCTTAAAATAAAATATATGACCAGCCATATATATGGCCAGGAACGGCTGACACTGTCAAGGTGCTGGTGCTGGTGATGGTGATGGTGATGGTGCTGCAGCCCAGACTCGAATTTCCGCACAATTTATGCGTTTGCCAACTGGCAGCCGAAAAGCAGTGAAAGCAATAAGGCTGAATGCTGAAAAATTGCGTATTTCGGTGCCGCTCGTCGCTCGGCAATTTCCAACTGCTGATTTTCCAATCAGTGCACACTCTGATATCAGCTTATTGAAAATATTTGTCTTTGGCCGAACAATCTCGACTCACAATCCCCGAACAGCGAACTGTAAACTGTCGTCTTCATTAGTCTCTGTCGGAGTATCTCAAACGAATTCGGGAATGTGGGAAGTGGGCGTTGGATGATGGGAGGTGGGTTGTGGGTGGTGGGTGGGTAAATAAAGAGCAGATATCGCAAAAGTCAAAGATATTCCCCCAACAGCCCCGACCATGCTTAAGTAATAACTTCTCGGCGCAAAGAAGACAATGGTCCTTCAAAAGGATCCCGAACACAACAGTGCGGAAAATGAAAGAGGTTGCAGGAGGTCGTTGGCGAGTTTCAACCGATTTTAATGGCCTGCAACAGGAAGCAATCAAGCTGGAATCAATAAAGCTTCGCTTATTGGGATGTCTTTTCAATTACATGGTATAATGTTAATTTGAAATATTCCGTTTATTTTACATGAGCTCACAGGAGCTCATGTGGCTGGAAAATTGTTCTTATCGTAAACAAACTAAATCCACTCAAGTGTTAAGGCTCTATACATTTTTGCCAATGAATTTTACCATAATATTGTCATTACTTAACGCTATGGGCTTTCAGGAGATGTAGAGACTTTTTGAGATAATACGTTTCAATTTAGTAATGTAGAAACAGGTTAGATAAATTGACTGGTGGTAGAACGATAGATTTAAGGATTTTAATAGGATTTTTAAGGATAAGATTTTAAGACGATAAAGTATCCGAACCTGAAATTCAAGCAACCAAACGGTCGAAATTGTAAAACAGAATAGCTTTTAGAAACTCGAAATTTTGGAAACCAAGTCCAATAGAAATTGAGTTTGTTGTGATGAAAACTCCTTGAAAATTCTTCGGAACTGGATGAGAACTTAATTCTCTGCAGTGGCAGTGGAGCACTTGAAGCAAACAACGTGAATTTAGTTGAATGGCGACGACCCGAGCCGCACGATGTTATTTTTGTCAAAAGGGGCACATGAGACATCATCGGACCGACGAGCCAAATAGAAAAAAAAGCAAAAACAACTAAGAACTTCTCAACTCTCGATGCAACTTAAAAAAAGACAGATACTGTGTATAACGCTTGGGAAGCGGGTGAGGGCGGCGTTGTTTTCCCACTTCTGCACTCTTTTGGTGTGTATTTTCCAGCGAGTGCTCGAGTGACTCCGGGGAAAAAGATGGTGGATTTGAAGTGCGGCCTCCTGGGGGCTTCTCTGCATAACAATTCTATTTTTTCTACTTGAATATTTGTCTCTTTGCCGCTCCACGCCACACTCCAAAGCCGCCCAGTGGCCCGCCATGTCTGATTCTTTGTTTTTTCAACTTTTTACCCGCTTTTCTGGCAATTGCAGAGCTCAGCGAGCAGTGAAAACTAAAAATATGGCCAAGTTTGGCTCAGGGCGATCTCCATGTGAATTTATGGTCCGCTGCCTGGGAATTTCCCGCATGTACGCTATACACACAGAGATACGGCATCCTATACACACCCAGCCCACATAATAGATATAACCATGGCTGTAGCTGAGTGTTTCTTTGAGTAGGAGGTAGGTGGTTGGCTTTTACTTTTACATTCCGCTGCCATTTCTTGGCCTGCTTAAAGCGCCGTGAAAACGCTGGCAAGGAAATTGAAAAATCGGATGCGGAATTGAATAATGTGTCGGATGGGGGAAGGAGCGAATAGGCGAATGGGCGAAGGGGCGGTTTTGTGTGTTGGGCGCCATTCACTTTACAAGGCCACGCAGTGTCACCTTGCCACAAGATTTATGCGCGGTGTAAGTGGAAGGCGGTCGATGGAGTGGAGTCGAGGAGATTTCGCATTTGAAATTGATAGTGCGACATGAGTGGGATTTGTTCGAGTTTCGCCGCTCTCAGCGGAAAGCGAAAAAATCTCGAGCACTTGTTAACGCAAATGTTAGTCTGTGGTAAGGAGAGACGTTCAACAACTGCCACAGTCAACAGTATAAATGGGGTAATAAGTTTGTGAGATCAGGGATAAGTTCTGACCTTTCACATTATGTGCATTTGCGGTTGAGTTTCAGTTTTATTGAGCTCAAAAAAAATATTCATTATAGTAACTTAATTCAGATGTATTCAAATATATTGAAATTTTTTACAAAGTATTTACTTTTATGTCTAAACATTGCTGGTTTTTCTCTATCTAGATCTCTATCACAATTAGGTTTATGAAAAGAAACGTACAAATGTTTTCTTTTACTGGCCAAGTATAAAAAAGTGCAAAGGTTTCCATTTCATAAGACCATTTGCCCCTTAAGCATAAACCAAGTTTAACCGCATGCTTTAATATTTACAATTATTTAATTAGTGCCGACCTAAGCAAACCAGGGCCAAAAAGGGAAAGTTGTTGGCCAAGGTAAATGGCGATGGAAGACAAACAAAGACGGCACCCGGATTCCCGACGTGAAGGGAGCGATGGAGCACGAGTCTGAGACCGAGCCCGAGCTCGGGTGAATAGTTGTCTTGGAGCACTCACCTTTAATTATCGCCAGAAAGATCAACAGGACAAACAGCGACAGCGACGCTGGCAGCGGGGAGTCCATGTCCTTGGCTTGTTTGTATCGCGTGGCACTCGGGTTGAATGGCTACCGGCCCGCCCCTGCTCCTTCTGCTCCTACTGCTCCTGCTCCGACTGCGGCTCCTGGTCCTCCTCCCGATCCGCCGCCTCCTTTCGCAGTGGGCGTTGGTGTGGTTGAGCTGCCTTGAAGTGGTTGCCTGTCCCCGCCTCGTCACCTTGGCTAAATAGTTGGCCAGGGCTCTTGCGCCCGGTGCTCCCAACTAGCGATGATTAGCACAATGGGCCGGAGACAATGCGCCGCCGTGTGGGTCAGAGTTCAACAATGGACGATGATGGTCTCCCAGAGGTCCGTACTCCTGCCCACAACTTCTCAGTGCAATGCAGCTGTCATGGGACGCTTAAGATATCTCCAAAGAAACTAGAATTTCTCAATTCTACTAGTTATTTTCGTTTTTAAAGCAGCGCCTTAAAATATTATTTAATGCTGGTATTTTTCGAGCAAATATTTGGCACGCGTTTCCCGTCGACTTTCTTCGGATTTTGCTGCGGTTGTGGTTGTGATTGTGGCTCTGCTTCCTCTTCCACTTTGGTTCCGCGTTGCAGATTTAATTTCCGGTCTTCCTGGTCACAGATATTTTTTCAGATTTTTGTTTTTCCGTCGCTTTTATTTGACTAATTCTCTTTCGTTTGCTCTTCGGTTTTCCCTTTGCGTTTTTCCTTTGAAATAATTTACATAATTTGCACTTTTTCTGGGTCGCTTATATGGTTTTCATTTTCTATTTGAGTTTGTTTTTCTTTTTTTTTTTTGTTGGATTTTGAGAAACCTTAGGTAGCAGTTGTTGTTATTCTGGTTGATTTTATTTTTGTTGTTGATCCTTATATTTTGTAGTACAGCTTAGTATCGTTGTTTCGTTCAGTTGTAAGATGTTAGCTGTAGAACAAAAAGAAACAATTAAAATATTTACGATATTGTTAAATTTCATTTGTTTAACTAAGTTAATGCCGTTTCCTCCTGCTTATAAATCGCGTTCATGTACTCAAGCCGAGTGCTAATTCCCTTTCAATTGATGACGATACCCCTTTTCTCATTTAACGCGATTTGCGTTAACCCCCTTTGGACGTAAGCTCTTCTGCTTTTGAGGTTTCCCTATACACACAATCCTGGCTCAGTTAAGTCCTTTGATATCAGATCCCGTGCCACAACTTAGCGAAGCGAACTGCTCACCGCAAAGCAAAGGACCACAAAGGACAAATACCTGAAAATCAGACTGAAACACTAAAAAAAATGGCTACAAAAAGCTTGGCTGAGTTAATGTTTAATTAAAAAATATATACTGTGGCACTCATTAGGGGTTTTTCCAACCCATTTCCAGTGTGGGACGAGGTGCAGCTGCTCCGTCACTTCGGAGACCTCAGATAACCCCGCCCAAAACCACCAAACCACTAAACCACCCATTGCGAGCCCAGCCATTGATTAGTTTTTGTTTTCGGTCAACAAACTTGAGTAAATTAAAACAATGAATTTGCGTAAAAACGCGAGTCGAACAAAAACAAGAAGGGCGAAACCGAAGCAGAAAAATAACAAAAGCAGGCGATGCGCAAATTAAAACACTGGCTACTGGCTTTCGAGGCGAGCATCGGAGGGGGGCAGGCGGCTGGGGGGGCATGTATCGAAGGGCGGGGCTGGTGGGGGCGTGGCCGGGCATTGGGCCGAGAAATGCAGTAATTGAAATACATGCGGCGATGGCGGCATCGAGGCTGCGTGTGGCATGAGCTGCTATGCCGCAATACAACGAAAAATAAGTAACAACGAGGATTTGCTGCATCACATTTTACCTCTTAGAGCAGTTCTTCATCACCTCGTATTTAAACAATATTTAAGACGCCGTAAGGAGCAAAAGTGATAGGCGACTACTACAAAATCTAGAAAGTTCTAGATTTAACTTTAATGAAAGTTAAAGTTTAAAGAAGTTAAAGTTTGTCCTTAGGACAAGACTTATTGACCCAATTCATAGACCCAAAAACGATTCCCCCACCCGTTACAAACTGCGCCAGGAACACAGGACACCCATTCTGTCCCTAACTGCTGGGTGCGAATATCGCAGCATGCTTTCAGGCGCCGGCCATCAGTGCCGCAGAAAGCCACAATAATTTACACGTGCTCGATGGTCGCAGAGGGAGAAGGACTGAGGGCGGCGGCTGCGTGGGAGCAGGATGGGATGCTTCAGAACCGCATCATCTGGGATAAACTAAGTCCCGGGGTTCGGAAGGTTGAAAAGGGCATTAATTATGATGGAAAATTAAAATATTCAACTTATTTGATTCCCCCAGCGGAGCGGAGCTGGAGCCAAGATGGAGTCCGGCTCCAAGTGAAGGAAGTGTTCCACTGCTCCAGTGCTCGAGGCCACCCCTCACGTTCTATGTCTTTGTCTATGGCTGCGTCAGCTGTTTGTGTAATTAGAGGTTTTATGAGTTATGTTCGTGTGCGTGAGGGTTGAGGTGAGTAAATGCTGGGGCGCTGAGGGTCCTTCGTCCTTGTCGCGGTTAATTAATCTCAAGTTTAGTTTCAGCCCGCTCCAATTTGCCGTTCGAGCGCGGTTTTTGGCACAAAGCTGGCAGGTAAAAAGTTTCAAAGTCAATTTAATGCTTCGCCAATGTTGAGAAGCAGCCGTCGTGCACAATGAGCCCTGAAATTGAAGGAGTAAGTCCTTCTCGGCAGAAGGACTCCTCCTCCGTGTACTAGTCACCCCATTTGCCGATAAAGCTATTGCAACCACATAGGCGCGACAAAAATCGAGGTAAAACCAACAAAAAAATGGAATCTGGCTTTGCTTGCGGCTCCCTCGTGGACTGGAGCTTTCCACATGTGGTGGCTGCATTTTTTAGCACACTCCACAAGGCCTCAAATTACCTACTGGCCCCGATGTGTGCCACAAGTGCCTCACTATATCCGCTTTGAGGTTTCAACTTTTTGCGGTCGTTGGTTCATAATTGAACCCTTTGGTGGCCACACACACACACACTTGTTGGCGTGGCAGGAGATTGCTGCACAAATTTGCTTTAGCCCGCTGCAAATTATGCTCAAGGGAATCCACTTAGTGGCTTAGTTGCCAGGGATTAAAACAATGTAAGCCCCAATACACACGTGAAAAATTTACCCCTTCCCTTTACATAGGCTTTCTAGTGCTTTCTCTAAAAATCTATAAATACTATTAATAAACCATTGAAATCACATGTTACTCCCCAAAAGTATAAGCGCTGCAGCTTCAATTTATTATTTTTTCACAATTTCAATGGGCTTTTCAGCATTCAGATACTCACACCAATTCATAAAGTCGATTTCTAGCAATATCTTTGCTGTTTTGCTCCGTGTTGGAACTCAAACTTTGATTGACTGCGTAATGTTCGTTCAGCAGGCTAATCAAGCGACTAAGTGCGATTCAAAAGCCAATCAAAGTAAAACTGCATGGAAAATGAGCTTTCAGCATAGAGTTTAGAGTGTTTTCGATTTTGGAACGCTGACTGACAAGCTGCCAGAATGACAGACTGAGGCACTCAGACGCCTCTGCATGTGCTCTGCGGCCATCCATTCACTCTTTCATTCAGTCATTCATTCATTCAGTTGCTAACAGGGCGATAAGCGTACACATTCAATACGCACGCACACAAACACCCACTGTGAGCACACCACACCACACACACACACACACACGCGCGCACTCGTATGGACGCTGCAAATATTGCTATTGAGCGAGCGTCAAAAGTCATTTCGACAAAATAGTGCTGCATACTTTGCTGCGCTGCCTTTCGAGTGAGGTTATTGGCGCCTCTTCTCCCTTTTGAGAGCGCATTTCGCTGAAGTGGGCGAGGGGTGGAGTCAAGGCTTTTGTTAGCACAAAGCCAAAACAACAAGTGCTATATAATTACAACAACAACAACAACACAACATCTACAGCACAAGCAACAAGGGAAATGCAAAATGCAAAAGTGCATTGAAGAGAAAACTGCCGAACGGAAAGAAGCTTATTTATTGTTTTGGAGCTGCCAAATGGACTCGTGAGTGCTCACGAAGCTGAAACTATAATAAGATTTGTTCCACATCTGTATTTATTGGGTTAATTAATGAGAAGCTGTGTGACAGAAATGTAAATCACTTTGTGTGCTGGTATTTTAGGCCGTGTTTGTCATTTTTAAATTTAAAACACAAACGAGGAGGGGATACTTATTCAAAATAATATAATACTTATCAGCTGAAACAGAGTGGAAACTTCAAGATAATGGCCCGCTCTATTACAGGGTATTAAAAATCATTTTTTAATGTACAGAAATAGCTAGCAAAATTAAAGTGAGATTACAATTTTTTTTTTTTTTTTTTTATAGTTTATTAAGATATACAGGATAGCTATGAACCCTTTTATTACCTTATTTTCTATTGTTTCTGCCAATAGGCGCTCCGGCTATAGGAAATATTTAATATAGCTTTTTCTAGTTTAGACAATAAAACTAATCTAGCTCCCATTATGCTCTTCCTTTTGTTAAATTGTGTCCAAATTGTGTAAATCAAATTAGTTTCGAAAAGGCTGAAAATGCATCCTGAATCGTGACCTTTGCACCCGAAAATAACGCCACGATCCCATCCCCAGCCGCCTGTTGCCCCTCAACTGGGTCAGACATCGCATCGGTAATGAGACTGCCAATACTGCCGATGGATATGGTGCTGTTAATGGTGATGATGAGCGGATGAGCGGATGGGGATGACATCGACTACGAGGAGCAGCGGAATGGAGATGCGGATGATGGCGTCGATGATAAGGATGATGTGCAGCTGACATTATAAACAATTTCGCAGCCAATGGAGCAGTTTAATTAAAACGGTGACCAAAAATATTCAACTATAATCTATTGCAGGCAGATAAGGGCGGGAGGAGCAGAGGAAACGGAGAACGAGGCGGAGAGCCGAGTTAATTTCATGGTGCAAAAAGGAAATGGCACAGCAAACAAAGGCAAAGACAATGGCCACGACCAGGAAAACCGAACCGAGTCTGCCACGATATGGGAGGCGCACAGGGAGGGCCGAGGAGCCACTGAGACAGAAATTAAATTGGAAATGTTGTACTTCGTGCAGCAGACAGGCTAAAAGGAAATACACCAAAGGCATCCTGCAAATGCAAAACAAAAAACGTGGGCGGGGGCCGTCGAATGAGCATGGGTGTGCTGCATCTGTGTGCGTGTGTCTGTGACTGCCTCTCCATCTGTGCATCTGTGTGGGTAGGGGCAACAACAAGTGGCCAGGACACGGCAAGCGGAAGCTGTTGCTGCAGGATGCAGGACCCTGTGCTATTATACAAATGGAGGCGGCCTCTTATAAGTTGGAAATTGTCTCAGATTTAACAGGAAGAAAAACGAGGCAAAAAATAAGCATCAGCAAAGGCGGCAGAGGGAGAAGAAAAGGGCCATACACGAATGAGGGCTCATGAATTTTCCCGGAAACGACGGACAAATGCTCTCGAAACGAGATCCCGTTGAGGGAAATTTAATAAACAATAATTCTGCAAGCAAATCCGCACTTCTACCCATGGTAAATAAAGCTGCAGCAAAGCCAAAAGTGTAAATATAAATCCCAATCCCATTGCAAAGTCGCATCTGTATCTGGCCAAGTCCTATGCAAACTTGTTCAACTTTAGGTGCACGGAGTGCACCATCTTTCAAAGCGACAGACAAGACAATGTGAGATGGGCGATGGAACTGCAACGGCAGAGCTGGAGATCCTGGGAAGCCGAGGGACCCTACATGCCACACCATCCAGGAAAAAGGAGCCGCACCAAAGAGAGTCTCCATAGTAGAGGCAACATTATTTAGGTTTAATCAGCAAAGCAGATTTGCATACGACAGTTTGGCTGCAATGAAATAAACCAACTGGAATTCAAAGGA